TAGCATCCCTAGATTTTACTTTTTGTACTCTGAACAATATGGTAAAGTTCTGTCTGCTGACTCTTTCTGAATCGTGCTTGCTTGCATTACTGTAGACAAGAATTAACTAGCTACTCCCACGGTTTTATGGTTTTGGTCATTTCAGTGACACAACTTGCATGCTAGCTGTACATCTCTGTTAGATCTTCCGCAGATGAGGCTTCGTTTAAAGAGACTGAAAGGTTTTTTACAGTGCCTTGTGAGCCAGCACATCGCTATTTCTGAAGCTCTTCTGCAGACAGAACTCCCTTTGAAGTCAATGGGAGCTCTGTCTGAATAAGGACTTCAGGATTTGGGCCTCAGGATATAAATGCTGTGATCAATCTTTTCAGCATAATGAATAACATTTTCTTGGCTTTCAGAACTATACTATGCCGAACAGTAGCCCCAGGGATTCAAAATGGGCCAAACAGAAGAATATGCTTTGTCTCAACCTACATCTTTATTCAGCTTTTAGATCAGCATAGTCCCCATGCCTAGTACTGACCTGCCCAAAAAACCCTCCAACATTAAGACCAGATGTTTCAATAGTCAGTTTTACAATCAAACCTATCATGGCATGAGACGCTATGAAACAGAGTGGTGTTCAATGAGAAACAAACATACTTGCTGTAGACTGACCTGTGTAGAAGTTGCGACCTGAACGTACAGTCTGGAACGAAAGACTTGAAGGCTGAGAACTTTACTAATTGTGTGACAGGGAGGTCTGTAGGCACTGATTTTGATCAGATCATCAAAGTACCAGACACTGTGCAAACATCAGAGTTAGTGATACAAAAAGTTGACAGTCCAGGCAGGCAAGACAGATACTCCCTGTCTCCTATTCCTTGTAATTACTCTGACTTTACAGATGGAAAGTTCAGCTAAGGAGTGATTATATGACTTACCCAATACCTCTCGTGAAGTCTAGAATGAAACCTGACTGCCAACCTGGTGCCCTACTCTCGAGGCTATGCTCCCCCTTTTACACAGTGCTAACAGTATATTACAGGACTTAAAAAATCACGGCTTCCCATCCCCGTCCCAGGCTTGGCTGAACTCCAGCATCCCCAGCCACCTTTCCCCCTGAAACCAAAGGCCTGGGTTCTTCCCATTACCTGTGATGACAGATTTGCCGGTGCTGATTTCAGTGGCAGCAAGTCTAGATCTGGTGATAAAAGACACCCTGATAGGGGCAGCTGTCACAGCAAGTGGCAGGGCATCATCAGGGCAGGGCATCATCAGTGTGAGGCAGAGCAAAACTCTCTTGGATTTTCAGCCCTCATAGGTTATCATGCAACTGGATTAATAAAACAAGTTATAAGAGAACCAAGAGAAAAGATAGACTGAAACAAGAAAAAGAAGGAAAAATATTGCAAATTCTTGTTGCCTGAACAAGCCTTTTGCAGGCTCTTACCTCTGTGAAAACATGGGTGGAGGGGCACAGGTGAACAGCCCACTCCCTTTCCTGGACTCCCAGGTCTGATGCTGGCCCGTTAAGTGTTTTGCTGGAGGAAGTCCTGCAACTTCTGTTTCTGCCCACAGTCAGTGGAGAATCTAAAAGAACTGTGAATACCATGTTGGTATCCATTGCAATGGGAAAATGTCAAAGCCTTCAGGTGTGAGTACATATGGGACTCTCACTAGCAAACAGAAAAATGTTTTGGAGAAGCAACTCCAAAACTGATGAGGGCAACATAAAAAGCAATGTATTACCTGGAATATGAGCAATGGGAAACCCAAACACAGGTTCAGCAGCTGCAAGAATTTCTGCACAGTATCAATAAGACTGAGGAGGTCTCTACCATATACCAGATATGCCCTGACACAGCTGAACCTACTTAAAGTTTTAAACAAGTAAAGTCTTGTCCAGCCTACGACTTGCAGCAGTGATGTAAACAGCCTGCTGATTCAGTTGTATTTGTAGACTGTTTCCAGGGTTTGTTTCTTTGATTTCTTCTTTTTTTCTTTTCGTTTTCTTTTTTACACCTGGGTAAGTGAGTTCCCCTCCCTCTCCCTCCTTCAACTGGGTCAAAAACGCTCTGACTTCCCCAGTTTCTTCAAAGACTTGGCTCTGCTTCCCTGTGTGGATTTAGTCCAGGTGCTAGGCTGGTTCCTCCCTAGAGGCTTCCCGGTGCCATCCACTGCCTTATCTTGGTTCCTGATCTTGAGGGAAGAGGCAAAACAGCCAGCAAGGAGAGGCATGTAGCAAGAGACAGCTCAAGACCACTCAGCAGTTCAATCTGTCCACCTCAAAGAGGAGGACAAAGTAATGAATTTTTCCCTTCAGGTTTAGAAACAAAGAGGGCTTTTTAGTTTTAGCAAAATGGTTCCCTGAGTCTCCTCTCCCTCCCCCTAGGGTATGGGACCCTGCTCATCCCCGGGGAGCACTCAGATGCAGGGCTCTCAGAGAGCCCGTCCCAGGGAGCTTCGAAGAGCCCCCTTATGCCCCCACTGCGGGGAGATGGGTGGGCACGGCATGGGCTGGCAAGTCATGAAGACAAGGGCAAGGGAGCAGTCACATGCGGCACTGCTCAGCCACTTCTGGGGCGACCCACAGGGCAGCTCCTTCACAAGCCAGTCAGACCACTGCTACGTGATCCTAGCTGGCAGGGAGCACTCAGCTTTTAGGATCCTATAGAGTCTGAGACTGGTTCTTGCCACTTCTTCACCCCCAATTCGGAAACTGTCTAGGCAGTGGAATTTAGTTGCTTATGCCCAAAGCAAAGACTGCAACTTGCTTTTATTTATTCTATTTGCAGGTATCTTTCTTGGGGACAAGTATAAGAAGATGGGGCTGGAGCAGTTGCTGTGCGATAAATTCAGACACAATCCCACTTTTACTTGCCAGCATACCCTCCTCCCTTGCATGTGAGGACTGTAGGAGAAAAAATTATATATATCATCAAAGGATATATGTTAAGATCCTATCTGCATGTAACTGTGTTGTACATGGGCATCCTGATTTGATACAGCAGTAGCTGAGGCAGCCTCCGGGGTAGCACCACTAGAAACAAATTGTGCTCTCTCTGGAGCACTGTGAGCTATGAAATGATTAAAAACAGCCAAGATGAGGCTGACAGTGGCTCCCAGACTGCAGAATATGAATGAAACTTGTATTCACGCCAGCTGTGTTAGAGATCCAGTACAACACACTGCATATCAAACGGAAGAAGGATTCATCTAGGGAAAATAATTTTAGCTTCCAAAGAGGAACTAAAGAAGGCTAATAAAAATATATTTTCTTAATGGGCCTTTGTCGCTCTTGCTTTAATCTTCAAAAACCTGTATCTTCACACATTATAACACTAATGATTACCTTTGTTTTTCATTCTTACTGACAAAGAAATGAAATACACAGTAAATGTGTTAACAAGAGTGCATTGCAGTCTCAGGACCAGCGCAACAGTGGTTTCCAGATGGAAAGCCAGCTTAGACCTAGGCAAATGTCATTTGCCTGCATTAACTCTTTGTTCCCGTACTGTTTAAGAAAATAGCAGTGAAATACAACTTGGGTTAGAGAAGTAAAAAGATAATTAAAAAATTATCTCTTTCAGATTGCTTCCATCACCACATTTAGGTTGTGCTAGTCTCTTCTTTGTGAAGCGCAGCAGCTCCCTTGCAGCTGTGTCTGAAACAGCTCCTCTGAGTTTCCAGCTCAAGTGAAACAAATGGGTAGAGCAAAAGACAGGAGATGAGGACCCCCGTGCTCTGTTTTCAGCTCTGCCACTAGAAGGGGGGTAAGGCATTCAGTCTTCCCCAGATTTCATCAGCTGATGAGGTCCGTTGATGACACAGAGCTGGGATATGCAGTGAAGACAGAGGAGTGGTAGGACACTGTACAGGAGGAAACCAAACTTGATAGAGTAGAAAACCAGAAATGGGGTTGAAGGTGTGGAGCACAAAGTGCAAGATGGCAGGTGCCCTTGGGGACCAGACCACAGAATCTTCTCCTACAAGCTGAGACGTCCTCAGCTGAGGGCAACCTCTGGTCACTTGTCAGGAGATGATGCACAAGGCAAGAACTTGAGGGGAAAGAGCTCAAACTCAAAGGACAACAGTACAGTAACCATCAAGAAAATGATTAAGCTAGAAATGAGAAGAGGTCTGTGGTGGTCTTCTAGCAAGGGTAGCTGAGACACATATTCTACACTAACATCTTTCAAAAAATGATGCTTCACCAGTTTATGAAAATCAAATTCCAGTCCTATGATCCTAAGTTTTTGAACAGTTTTGGCTCCTGACTTTCAAACTGGTTATGACAGGGGAACTGTTTATTGGCTATAGTAACAGAAATGTTCTCAAAGATTACTTTGTTTGTAAATTTGACTATGGCAATGGTGTGAGTGTTACCTGCATTTTTAAAATGGAAGCAAAATACCATGGGCCAATGGGTGAGTAACATGAAATGGAACTAACTGGTCCAGTTTAATTGCCTACGGTAAACGAAGCAGAAATATGTGACAAAACCTAGAAATAGTAGGACGTTTATTTGATCTATTATATTATTTCAAAAGTAGTAGCCTACCTGGTGCCTTACTAGTTAAACACAAACAGGAATTACATTTAAATATAAAAGCTTTATCTTAGTAGCATGCCTTCACAACTTTAGTCATCTTAAGGTACTCACCTACTTATTACCAGCTTTCACAGGTCTCATTTTCGGTTAGTTTTTCAGAAGCAGTTGTAAAGTCATTTCTTGACTCCATTAACATTATTTTTCCTGTTATTTTTCAAACCAAATTCCATGATTTCTTTTCCAGACCTTAGACAGTATTTCTGTCAGGAGCTCTTTTTTCAGGTGTGAATATATTTCAGTATGGATACAGAACCTAAGGAAATACAGCTACACAGATTTTATTTTAATTATAAGCACAAGGTCACATGCCGAGCTTTGTTACACTTCAAAATACATATTTCAACTAACTGCCAAGCTACGCTGCTGTTACCAAAAGGCATCTCAAACCCTATAGGGGAAGATCTTAACTTTCATCTACTATCATCATTGAAATGTAGTCTCTGTAGCGAACAGTGTTCGTCTCTGGATCTAGAGCCGTGGAGAGCATGTCCTCCATTTCTTCCTGAGTAAAGGGCTCACCTAAAAGACAGCAGAGAATAACACTTTGTCTTGCTAAGTATTCTTTACAGGCCTGGCAAATTACCCTGCTTTTCCTTGCAAGGATCTCCTTCCAGTCCTCACACAGAGCAGAAAAGGGGCAATACTAAGGATCCAGTTCCTTCACTTCTGCCAGCATTAAGTGCTGCACACTAAGCAAGCTGGTCTAAGGGAAAGGAGACTGAGGGCCTGGATCTTCTGATCTCCTTTTAGTTCACAGGCTCCAAAACAGCCTGTTCCTCTCTGCCACGGGGATTTCAAAACAACCATTCAAGAGTGAATTCTTCTAAAGTGTACATTAGAATTATTGTCTCTCATTTGGCTATCCTTTTACTTGTATTTACATCATGAAAGGCCTCTGTTTTTTCTCTTTTAGGAGCTTCAAAGCTGCTGATGGCCTCGTGCATCTGTCTTTGAGAACAAGGTCCCCATCTGAGGATAGGCCTTGTGCAAAGCCTGCACATCATTTTGTACTTGAGGCAGGCAGGCATGAGTCAGCCATGCAAGAAAAGCAGGCTCTTCAAGGGATATTGAGGATTACATGATATACAACTTAAATCTGGTATTTGAATCTCTTTCTTTGCGTACGGCACTAGAATTAAGATCAAGATAATGTAGGAATGAATGAGCACTGAAACTTCCTGAAACATCTGGAATCTGAACTACAATTTTACAGGAGGACAGAAAAAGAGGCACATCCTTAGGAAGCACAGAGATGTGCACAGAATCATAAAATATCCACACAGATTTAATTATGAATTTTAATAATAATAAACTCTATCTTATAATGCCTGCAAGCAGGCAGATAAATGTTCTTTCCCTGCATTATTCATCAGTGAATTGTTGTAGTCTGCAGCCACTCATCACGGCATCAGTATCGTTTGAAGACAATGTATCTACTCCTGCAAGTTTTGGCATGCAGAAAGTGGACCTCAAGGTGTCATGTTTATTTACTTAAACACTGATATTACAAAAGTCATGTTACCTTCTTCAGTCAAATATTTAACCAGGTCCTCTTTAGTAATATATCCACATTTATTCTCATCCAAAGCCTTTAAAGAAAAAGAATAAAACTTGTGGTTTTAACCATACTGAATCAGGAATCAGCAACTTCTTTCCAGCAGTTAGGTACTTGAATATTTAGTTACAGACCTCAAATGCATGCAGAAGAACATCTTCTGGAATAGGCCGGTAGCTGAAACCATTGAATCAGAAAAGTTAAGTCACTGTTTGCCAGGCTGCTGTACTATTCTGAAAGAATAAAATATGAATACTAAAGGAAAGGAAAACTTCTTTTCTATGGGAATTTTCTAAGTTTGTCTATCAAATATTTAATTCCAGCATGACTTTTTGGAATTGTCCATGTCTTTATCTCTTATGTCTTTTATTGTACTCCTCTTTAATTTTCCTTGTGCTAAGGAGCCAGATGAATGGCTTCTGCATGTCTGGGCTGGCTGAGTGGGTTAGTAGGAATCAATTAATAGCTGAATCATTCCACATAGCCAATGCACTGAATAGAAGATGGCCAAACCAAGAAAACAAAGTTTTGTCCAGGTACGCTGGTAGCTAGGCAACAGATCACCTAGTGGGACTTCAACAGTCTAATGAGCTGATGATGAGCAAAGGCGGCTGGTAGCTATAAAAGAAAAGGTCTGTCACTAACAATTTCAGAGAGACGGGAGAAGGGGGCACGTGTGTGCATGTGTATGTGTGCCTGATTTCAGAGCTGGAAAGGAAGCCCTGTGCAGCAGCGAAGACCTTCCATATCCCAGCAGACTCTCACCAACCCCCAAGAATACTAATGAGAAGACATTGAATCCAAGGAGGCTCTAACTGCTTGATTGTTTCATCCAGACCCGCCTTGCTCTTTTACTATCTAAAAATCAAATGTGCTAAGAAGAGGCCTTGTTTTTAGTGATCCAGATCTCATGTGCCCTTGGATAAGTGAACTATGGACATAGTGCCCCAAAAGATAAAGCCTGCACTAGCCTGGGGAAAGTATGTGGGAGTTTTTTTTAGTGTGTGTGTGTATGTGTTTGTATGGAAAGGGTGTAGAGGGGGAGAAGAGAGACCAGAGCAGCAAGATATCATTTTGTGAAAGGGTGAACATCAGTGTGAAAACAGAAATGTGCCATGAAGGCCAGAGAACGCAAAGGTGCAAGAACCTGAGAAGGCAATGCACCTGCGCCAGCACACTGTGACCCAAACACTGCTGGCTCATCCCTGCCCAGGCATGGGTGCAAAGACTCTCAAACACAGCACCAAGGTGGACCCTGCTGCCTCTGGATGCTGCGAGATGGTTTTTGGAAACGCTACAGCTATTTCGTGTATAGAACACCCTCCTACCAAAGGCTCTCTGTGCGCAAAATAACTTCTCACTATTGGACAACACTGAGTCTCCCAAAATCCTTGGCCACCACCTTTAAAAGGAATGACAAATTCCATATAAGTAATCTTGCTTTTAGTGCAAAATATCAAAATAGCACAAGTTCCTGTGTACATGCAGGGATATCTATGTACCTTTGAATAATGAACAGCGTTTTTGTTCTAAACTTTTCGATTGGCAGTCTTCTAGAGTGCTAATTGTGTACATTCAGCTGTACCTGGCAGTCATTTTGAGACATGAACATGAAGCTGATTTATACAACTTATTAAAAATACACTGTAACAGACTGTGCTTCTCAGTAACTCTAACTCATATGTTCAGAGAAAGTAATGGTTATGACCTTAATTTGCATATAAAATATTTCAGAGATGCACAAAACATGTTGAATAGCAAGTTAATTCTGATTCACATTAAAAATACAAAAGCTACACACCATCACAATTCATGATTATAAGCAGTTATTTTTTATATAATCTGTACAACATAATTTTATGTAGGCAAAGTAATTTTGAAACAAAATCTATCAAGCTAATGTAAACTGAGTTCAAATAACAAAAAAAAAATCTGTACTCCTTCCAGTTACATAAAATTACTGTAGAAATATTTATTCAGAATCAACCCTGTCAATCTGGAATAAACTACAGACACAGAAAATCCACTTTCCATTACCTTCTGTCGAGTAGTACTTTTGTCATCACTGGAAGAAATTTTTCCAGATGAATGTATCCGGTCGGTTCTTCTTCTTCTACCTAAAAATAAAACTTAAGTATGGCAGGTTACATGACTCATTAGCAAACTAATATAAAAACCAGAAAATTGGGGTGGTTTCTGCATTTAAATTACAGAGTTAGACTCTGAATATTTATATCAGGTTTTTAATATCACATGGCACCATAACATCCGAATGAAATGCTTGTGATCAAATAGAAAGAAATTAGAGGAAGAAATAATATCCTAGGCAAAATACAGGCCTGCTATTATAGACGCTTTTAACAACTCAATATTGCCCTCTTGTGCTTAGAAACCATCCATGCAAAGGAACTGGACACCTAGTAACTGATCTTATCTTCCACAATAACTCAGCAGAAGTTTAAACATTCAGACTACAGTCATTCTAGTAAACTCTAGCAGGACCTGGAACATTCCCAAGCAGTGTAATGTAGCCACCCATAACAGCAAACCATTAGCACGTTCCCTGGCATGATTTTGGCCTGTGCCACCTAATGCTCCCCCCAGCAGTCACCAGGCCTGGCTAGGACCTTAGGGACTGCTCTCCAGCAGGCTGCTTTGTGCAGCCACTCCACATAAAACATTTACCAGGGTAGACAGGAGCTGCTCTGTGCCAGCTGGCTTCAACATCCAAGGATGTTTCTGGGCATATTTAATGTGCTAGTTTGGACATAGCCCTGGTCTAGTACACCTCAAGGATGGAATTTGTTGCCTCCACATGTTTCATAGCCAGAGAGAGTCGTCAAGGGAAGGACCAGAGAGGCAAGCAGACTGAGTCAGGGCAATCTGAAACAGTCATAAGGCAGCCCATAAAATGCTACACAAAGAAAAGCTTCCCTTTGCCTCCCAAATAAATTAACAGATTAATCCTAAAACATCGGGGACTTCTAGCAGCATTCTCAGTGCATTCCCATACTTCCACAGGAGATGAGCAACGTGGTAAAAACTGCTCCCTATCGTTGGGGTGCATCCCTTCCCTGAAAATTTCAAGTTTTACTCCCCACAGGAGCCCTCTTAATGGAGCTAGCCTGTTCCTGTCTGTGTTGAAACTGGATGCATGCCTTGTGGTCTCACATGGCAGCAGCGACACCTTGCTAGGCTCTCCAAGACACAGCTCAGATTGAAAGAAGACTCAAATAGGCACTGATTTGAAATCTCTTAACTAAGCCAGGAAAAGACCTGGGTCAGAGATGGGGTGATGCCTGATATATCCCCTTGCTTAAATGGAGGGCTGAAAATGCTGCTGTATGCTCTTTTCCAGTGCTCTTGAAGGGGTTTGGTTGCTAAAAGCAGGCAGCCACCATCTCTTGCTGCTTTAGAGTGGAAATTGGCGTGAAAAAGCACTTTTTCCCTTCTGTTTGGTGAGCCTAGTGGAAGGGAACTTTAGCAAGGAAATGAAGCTGTTGCATGCTTCATGCTAAATCAGATGGTACCTTTTACCATTGCAGAATCATTTGTTTTACTGCTTGCTTGATGGAAAAGATGTAACAGAATACCTGGCAGAACTTAACTATTTCCCAGTGACCTAACAGTTAGCCAATACACTGAACTATTCCATGCGTCACCAATATTGAGATGTACACAGGATGTTTTAGGGAACACCTGTGTTTCAACTAGTATTCAGTCAGAAATCCACAGAGACAGAAAAAGAAATATGGTAGCTATTTATCAGAAATAGATAGATGTGTCTTATATTAAGCAGAACCACTAAAAGCAAGGACCCAAAACATCCATGAAGATGGTAAGTTATATAAACAGCGTTTAAGAGCCAAAAACCATTAGAACTGCTCATCCAAACAGTTGAAGGTCATCTTAATTTTCATACCAGAAGAACTCACCGGCAATGACCACTTCAGAGCTCAACATAACAAATACCTGTGAAAATGTCAGCCCTCACTGACAAATACCATCCAGATTTGCCTGTTTTTATTGGTGTGCTATTTGTATTTTGACTTCATAAGGCAGTCTGTGGAAGAAATGTGTCCTTCCTGACAATGGACCTAGTCCTGGGAGGTGATAAGCAACCTCAGCTTCCTCTGACCTGGAAAGAAAAGCTTCCACTTCAGTGGTTCTACAGGCCCAGCAGTATCTTGAACTGTTAAAATTAATCCTATTTCTAAAATTGGATAGATACATGAGTTAAATTGAATATATTAACTTCACCTAGGTCAGGAAGTATTCAGATTTGCAGGTATATGCTTCCTCTTACTTTTTCTCATGCTCATTCCTATTCCATAGCTCATTTCCCACTGATGTTTTTGTTTTTCTGTAACTCCTCTCATTTTCACATTGGCTGTGACAGTATTTGCTTGTTCAAAATCTGTGAGTTTTGCTCTATCTCTTCCCTTTGAGTACATCCACAGCTCCCATAACAACTGTACTGTAGCACTCATTATGTTTCATATCTCTACTCTCACAGCCATGCTATTTTTGTCCACAAAACATTTGGGGACTTGATCACAAAGAAACAAAACCATCTTCCAGAGTTATCCAGGCAATCTGTAGCAGAGCAGTGCACTGAACCCAGGCTTTCAAACTCCAGGCATTGTAGTAAACCTCAGATTAGCTTTCACCATCTCTAGGTTTATCATTTAATCTTAACTTTGTAAGTAGGCCTAAAGATATGATATTAAGTACAGCATTTAGCATAAGGCAACATAGGAAACAGTATATGATAATTTTTAGAGATAAAATAATTATATGAATGCTAATTTGGCAGATAGGAATAATTTGAAGGCAACATACGCTAGTTTAGCTACAATAAAGCTAATAGGAAGATGACTGAGAGACACAAGTAGTGAGAAATAGAAATGAATCACAGCTTACAATGGGCAAAAATACTGGGGAAATAGCTTGGTTACAAACCAGCCAACAGAGACAATTTTTACTTTATCTAGATTAAGGTAAAATGGTATTACGACAGTCAATGGTAATGGTATTTTATACAAATTAAGATATATTTGTGATTATCATAATACTTTAAAGGTTCTGCAAGAAGATAGTGTTCTTCTGGTACTACACCTATGCCAAGGTTTCATTTACAAACACCGTGAAACCTTCTTTGAGATTTAACTTCCAGTTCAGTGTTCTTTAAGGTTAAGCATTGCTCTTGAATGTATTCTTTCTTCCTGCAGTATTTGTGCTTTAATTTAATGCCCTTATAATCAATAATTGCATATGTTATACTGTTGTATCTCAAGAATCTTCCGCCTCATAGCTGCGTTGCATTGTACTTTGTTATATATTACTTATCCTAAATTTTCAGTAATGCTGAAAATTGAAGAAAAAACAAATAGAAAGTCCAGTCTCTTTGGGAGAGGGAGGCAGGCCTTAAACTCTTCTGGTTCCCCTGACTCAGAGAGGGGGTGTCAAAGCATCCCCTTCCTTTTCTCAGTTCTGTGTCTTGAGTCAGTTTCACTGTTCATTTGCTGCAAAGTCCTCTGCGGGCCACTAAAAATATCATCTATATTAAGCACCGTAATTTCTCTTTCCATTTTGTCTTGTTTGCCAGTGGGAGCTGGGACAATCTGGTGCTGAGCATACAGAACCAGTGCAGACAGATTGCAGTATCATGTTAAAAGATCTTTCTCCTCTGATGGTTCTTTGTACTTCCTCATTTGAAGCAGCTGCGCCATTTTCACAAGACTTAGCATAAGATTTCTCACACTAAATTCTGATCTACAAGAGACCAGACAAGGCTACTGAGGAGAGACTACTACTGCAACCATCCAAATTTTTGTTGGGGACAGGACGAAAAGAGTAAAAGATATCAATTCCCAGTATCCTGATCTATACATGAAAAAGAGAAAAATCCTTCCCCCACCTCTCAGCCTCAGCATCTTCCATTCCTTAAGGCAGCATATCTGTTTGCAAAAAGAATGTGAAGTCTTTTTCCCAGTTCTTTGTCCCATTTATTAACCACACTCTGCTAAGGCACCAGCACACGGTCCTTTCTATTACAAGCATGAGGTAAGGAGACAAAAATTTGTGTAGGAAAAAACTGTAGAGAAATGTGATTGAAGTTCCTTACCTCTGCATATCACCAGGAAAATGGGAGGACTGCTAGGTCTTGCAAGGTTTTATGTCTGATTTCTGACTTACAGGCTTAAGTAATCAAGTAAGAAAAGATTACTTACCTATAACTGAGAAATCCCAAGATTGGGAGAGACCTCAGGAAGGACAGAAAGTTGAGAGGTCTAGCTATAAGATAGCAATAACAGGACCCAGTGAAAAAACACAGCAGGTCTTCCCTCTGTGTATTTTTGGAATTTGATGTATAATTTTAACACTGGCTCAAGAATTAATTTTCCTTACTTAATTATAAGTGTGTGCCCCTGACATTTCCAGAAGAGTGAGATGGTTAGGGTTTGGATATCCTAATCCAACTGAGTTTTAGGACATTCTTTTTCATCAGCCAAAACCAATTTTTCCTCCATTTTCCATAAACACCCCTCCATCTTGGCACAGTGTCACAGTGACCTTCTGGGGTAAAAGAGAGTCAAAGGCTCCTCATTTTAACCCATCAACATTGTTAACTCATCAGCCTAAAGCCTTGCTTCAGGGCAACCTGAGAGACTGCCTGACTGCCCAAATCACTTCTATGACACTTCCAACCTCTGGGAAAAGAGCTTATGTTTACCACACAGCAAGGCAGAAGGGCCAAACTTGTGCAAATTTAAGATTGAAAAAAATACGAAAGATCTAAACATTTACCTTTGCAAGCAGTTCATGTAGTTCTGCCTCAGTTGGGAAGCAACCCAGTGACCTGACAATTGAGCCAATCTCTCTGAAAGAAAGATCAAACATCTTTGTCAGTAAATCTGCAATACAAGGGTGTCTGTGGAGAATGCAGATACCAACTCAGTTTGTGTAAAGTAGTGCGCATGTACAAGCACACAAGCACATATATGTGGACTTTTAGGATGATGCCTCAGTAAGCAATGTCTATTTTTACAGATATTAAACATTCTGGAGCTTTTTGGAAGAGTATAATTGCTCCTGTGACTTTCCCCAAAAATTCTTCTTTAGCATTGTGTTGCAGTGTACTGTGCGCAGGTTACTTTTCAACTGCTGTCCTCTAATTTTTAAGCGTAATTTCAGTAAAGTCTACGTTTATATAGTTAATAAAACACTTTGAAGTTTATGTTTACATTAAATCCTATAAAGATACAAATTCTAACTGCACTAAAGAACAATTACAAAAGGTCAGGGAGGAGGCAGCCCTGCTATGACCCTGCTATGCTCTGAAAGAGTCGAACAGACCAACACACTGGCTTATCACCCTGTTTATGCTGCAAAATACACTAATTTACCACTGAACCTGGGGCAGTTGTTCTGAGGAGCTAAATAAAATTCTGACCAAAGTGGCAATGCCTCAAAAAAGTTAAAGATTAACAACATCACAGGCTAGATGTAGAAGTAATAAAAAGCTGTAAAAAAGAGTACTAGTAACATTTATGGTATGATTGGAAACAAAATAATAGGAGTATCAATACTGCTTGTGATTTTCAGTCCAATTCTACAGCACAGAATTCTACAAGCACATTTGAGTAAGTATCTACAGTGCCAGTGGTTCCCATGATTCAAACCTCTGTGGCTTCCTCATCTTCACCAGTACATTTGGTGGAAAAAATAGATTGCCTAATAAAAATGGTAGACACAAGAAACAATGACCTTTGTAAAATCATCTTGCAACAGTAAGGCCTCAAATATGACACACCACGTGCATGTAAAATTACATGGGTCAGTCTTCGGCCTCCTCAGACAGGTCCTGAGGAGCTCCCATTTGGACTGAAAACATGTGAGAAGCACTACAATAGACAAAAGAGAGGAAAAGGCTGGCTGCACCAAAATAGTTACAAAACAAAACCCAGTCCCACGCATACAGATGTTATGAAACGAAGCCATCTGCCCAGAAGACCCAGCGAAACCTTGCCCCCTGCGGATGTGAGTCGAAGTTTGGCCTCAATAAGGTCAGACATTTAGTCCTATTTTTACTATCCTTGTCCATGTATCCTATTTCTAGTATGTATTCTATTACTGTATGTGATGGTCTCACTCCTGCACTCCCTTCTCTTTTCCAGCTAAAAGATGCTTGTAATCATTCTCTGCCTCCCCTAGTAAAACACCCAACCCAAATCATGCCTCCCTGCTGTCCCACACTATTTCTACTTTCACAGACTGCCAAAGATGGGAAGGACGCGATCAACCTCCTGCTTCACCTTTCACATCAGCAAAACTGTGATGTGACTAAGGTGACCCGGGCCCTGAAAGAGCCTGCAAAACCTGGCATTGCTGGCTGCTGTTTCTGGCAGTTTGTGCATGTGCCAGCATGAAGATGTTGTTTGAAGTGTCTGTGGTAAAAAAAAGTCATGTCACATTTGGTAGTAACATGGACCTTAAAGGACCCAGACAGGAAACTCTATTTTCCTCTCAGCCACTTCCTCTCATTTAGTTCAGCAGCTGCAATTTCTGCTGTGTAGTTTCTAGCACACAAAAATGATGGTTAAAATGAGTTTATGTCCATACAGATTTTGTAACACAGACAATGATAAAATTTTGGGTCACGGTTTTCACCCTAGATATAACACTTTCAATTACAAGATTTGCAAAATCACAAAAGCCCTTGACTCAGGGTGTGTTAGAAGCAGCATGGAACAATACCATCTTCCTCACACTTAGCTTCTTAGTAATTTGCACTTGCATTAGGAGTCACGCAATACTGGTGTTGGCCTATCAAGCCAGGGTAATTTTCCATAGTCTTCACAGGTATCTGATTTTTCAGGCAATAATATTCACAGGTCTCCAACTATGGTTAAGAATTGTGCTGTGCTGCCACCTTCTGATACAAAATAATCAGCCATTAATAATTCCATTATTGTGATACAGCCCTGCAAGATGAAGCTAGGAATAATTAGACAATAAATTATTGTTCATTGTCAGTAACCATATTATGATAAAAAATTAACGTGGAATTGTGCAACTATGTTAAATAGAGTTTTGAATGTCCCCTCTCACATGTTATGACTTACTGTCTGAATGAATAAATTTATTAAAAAGTCTATCTGTATCTTTTCATTGTTGTAACATTTTATCAAGCTCTATATCCATTATATAATAGAGTGAGGAGTGCAGCAAATTTTACATTTAGCCAGACTGCAGATGTAAATGGCAAACAAATAAGCAACTAGTATGTCATGGTGCAGTGAGGGGTAGGGGCTCCCCAGGTCTAGGGTGTGGTAGTGTCACAGGCTCCCCATGGTGGGTGGCAGGGCAGGGCCAGGCACCCAGGGCCCATCCCACTGCCCAGCCAGGAGCAGGACAGTCAGGGGGCACCAGGGCAGCCCCAGCCCCGAATGGGCCGAAGGATTTAAGTGAGCACACTTCCCAAAGAGCCCTATGGGTGAAGGAACAGCAGTCATACCGAGTATGGAGACGTACCCTGAATTTCTCCCTGTCTAGTATAACTGAAAAATCATTTCACTTCCACAAAGCACCCATAATTTCTTACATTTAGAGGCACCAGGAAGCATGCGCTGCTAAAACCATCACATAAATATTTTGCACCTCTCTAGCCTCTGTTTTTTAATGTAGAAAAGATGTTTGGAATATTTAAAGATGTTTTCTGATTTGGCTTTGTGAGGAATGTCTAATGACAACAATTTCACCAGTTCTCATGCTCTTTTGTAGTGTTTATACTCAATAATTGATTTATAATTAAAAGCTCTGGCAATATTCTCGTGAAAATAGTAATTGGAAATATGAAAGATTACATCAGTAAACTTTAATAACAAGAGCTCATAACAACTTCAGAACCTGTTCAGTGAGACATAAATGTGTTTTCTGTATGACAAAGGCCATATTGTTATATGCACGGATGTTTGTTACAATGAAGTTAAAACAGCACTGTCAAATAGTTGAATTTAAAAAAAAACAGAATTAAAAACCACCAGAATTCATGTGAAATTTTTTTTAATTTTACTTCCTTTAGCTCTGTATCTTGTAGCCAGCTATGCCCTGATCAGTCTAACAGTCCATCTTTGTTTCTTCCACTGAACTTTTTCTTACTGCCTCAGACATATATTTTGTTCGCATTTCTACAACATTGCATGCTAAAGGTATAGACCATGCAGCTCTCCCTCCTAACTCCCATCTGTGCATCCCATTCTCCCAGTTCTGGTCATCCCATTTCAAATAGCTGAACAAGAAGGAGCACAAAAAAGAATGGCCAGAGCTATGGAATGGTATCGCCTAAGAGATTAAACACATCCGGACTCTTCAGCCTTGAACTACTGTGATGGAGGAGGAATGTGACAGTTATGAAATCATTAATGGTGTTGAGAATATTAATAGAGAACAATTGTTCACTATTTATCGTAAGACAAAAAACCCCCAGGCCCCACTCAAATCATAATGTGGCAGATGTTCAAAAAACAAGAAATACTGTGTATTTTCTCAATTCTTTATATTCCTCCCCAAGTAACTACTAGTAGCTGAGATTAGGGTACTGGCCTAAATGGATTTTTGGCGCAATTAAGTATGATCATCTTTTTGTTTGGTTTTATTATTATTATTGTTGTTGTTGCTGTTGTTGTTGTTGTTATTATGTTATATAATCAAATTATATGCAATTTTCTTCCAAGTCGCCTAAAAACATGTCCCTGTCAGCACAACATCCACCTCCTGCACTACTCCAGAGGAAAAGACATGTGCAGGATGCATTGCAGCTGGGAACACCTACTGAGAGCAGGTAACTGTAACACACACTAGCAGGGACACTCTTTGGTTGTGCTGGGACTAACCTGAAAGCACAGAGATCCATATGGACCTATAGTGCCAAATGAGATATCAGAGCAGAGATTTGCTAGTAATAATTGTAGCCTCAGACTTCTTGTCTAGCTGCAGTTTCCTCTTGACTCCCCCAGTCACAGCATCCCTCCCGCAAGCCAGGCTCAGTTTTCAACCACTGAACAATGCAAAATGTCTATTAAACAAGTGAAGACATGCTTTGGCCCGATGAGGGCCAAAATGACTGTTTCAATTACATTTTCTGATAAAGCAGATGCAGCTTTAGGGAGCTATTTGTCTCTATGCTAGGTCCTGTAATATTTCAGTGTGAAGATATTTACAAACCTGACATCCACAGTTTTATTGCATTCATGGTCAAACACCTCAAAAGCTTCTATAATCTTTTTCTCAATTTCAGCTACTGCACGATCTGCAAAAAGAAACACAAGAAAAGAAAAAGAAATATTCACTGAGCTGTTTCAACTGATTTATTTCCAATTTGAGAATTGCAATAGTAGAAGCACCAAAACTGATAAAGGGGCAGGCAGGAAAGGTACTTCAAAAAAGCAGAAGTTATTCTGAAAAAAACCACCACCCTAAATGTAGAATCTGTCATTTCTATTCACAATGTGGCTGTGCTATGGCTCTGCAGCTGCATCAAGTCTGGTGGTAATGGTGCTCTCAGCTGCATGATCACCTAGGTGCCCAGGTGTGGACCCTGCCCAGAGCATGCCACAGCTCCTTCTGGGCCACGAGCCTGAGCACTTCCTGGACACCATGGTGCCAGTGGTACGAGCAAAGCAAATGTGGGCCCAGGCTTGCCCTGAGATGGGGCTCAGTCTCTTCATCCTGCATCCAAGGAAACATAAGCGCTCTCATGTCCACTAAGTTAGCCATAATGTATGAAAAGCTGAGAACCAGGAATAAAGAAAAGGCTAAGACATGTGCACAGTGAGTATGTCTCATGGTAAATAGTTCATTGTAACAGTTTGGAAAGGAAGACGATCTCAGTGAAGGGGAAGGAGTAATTTACTGCATTTCCTTTTTATATCTCCATCTCAAAGAATGGGGAAAGAAGAATCACAGAATGGCAAGGGTTGGAAGGGACCTCGGGAGATCATCTAGTCCAGCCCCCCCTGCTAAAGCAGGTTCACCTAGAGCAGGTTGCACAGGACATCATCCAGGTGGGTTTTGAGTATCTCCAAAGAAGGAGACTTCACAACCCCTCTGGGTAGCCTGTTCCAGTGCTCTGTCACCCTCAAAGTAAAGAGGTTCTTCCTCAAGTTATCACAGTTATATCCCATCTAAAGCCAGAAATTGCATTCTGGGGGTAAGGGAGGTACCAGGAAATAAATTCTGAAAAGAAAAAGAGAGGAATGGGTCCATCTCAAAAAAAAAGCTCCCTGGTAAGGAAGACAGGGTAAATAAAGAGTGAACTGGTTAGCCCATTTATTAATGTCGTACTTTGACTCCAAAAGACAGAATACAGGAAGCAAAGTGATATGGACTTGACCTTTTGGTTCCTGTGGCTAAATACAGCCCCAAACTCCAGCTGGCAAACCAACTCTCAAGAGGCAGCATTTTGTGAGCTAGCCTTACAGCCTCCACAGAGATGCCACAGGGAAAATTTGAGTGACAGACAGAACACGAGATTGGTATCAGGTATGCTTGTTTTCTCATTTGCACACTTCTCTTCTGTATTCTCAACATAATAATTAAAACATAGCTCTCCTCTATTAGAACCAATTTATTTTCTTCTTTAGGCTCACCTGTTGTTAAGTGTTGTTGAGCAGCTCTGAGCAGCACTAAACCACTGGACCTTGTTTCCGCAAGCATAACAATTTCATAGCTAGTTTTCTACAATCCCAATAGTTTGGGAATCTCTGGGGCTGTAGTCTACCACCATTTTTTTCATTTGCTCTCTTACCTTCATGACAGAAATGTCTTTTTTCTGGCAAAGAAACTGAACATAGCTGAATGATACATTTGCTTTGTGATTTCCCTGACTTTATCTCGACTCACAAGCTTTTTCATCGTATTTTCTCTGCCAGTGCTGCTGAGGAGGGCAGAGAGCGGCTGGGTGGGTGCCTGGCAGCTGGCCAAGGTCAACCCACCACAGGCTGCAAGCACTTCAATATAGTAGTGGATTGACCCAGATATAAGGAAGCTCTTTTTCATACAGAAGAGAGGTGCATCCCCTCATAAAGGTACAGGTGCCTGCTGCTTCCCATCTGTGTCTGGTACTGAACTGCCCCAGAGGATACGTGAAGAGAAGAGAGGTAGGAATATATCCTGTATTCCTCTCTCTGACTTTATTCCACTGATGGAAGCATGGGCATATGTATGATGGATTGGAGACTGGAGCTGACTGAGGAAGAAGAGCCCTGTTCAGTTCCCTGACACAGGACAAGCTGTATTATTTTCATAGCTTGACAATAATGCCTACCTTTTATGTGCCTAAGCAGTAAAATCCACATTTAATCCCTTTCCAAAAAAACGACAGTTAAATCTAAGTGGACCTGATTCCTTGTAGAAGAGGCCCTAAAGACTCTCAAACTACTAAATTTGCTGGGAGTTTTTTCAGTGACTTCAAAGAGTCCTGGATCCAGTTTCCAATGTAGACTGTTGAAGTTCAGTTCCTGAGCTCAGGCACTTCCAATTGTACACTATGTCTTGCAGTAGAGAAATGCTGAAGGAGTATTTATAGCTGTATATTCTTGGCTTGATGAGTGAGCCTTCTGTAGAAATAAAAATTAACCAGGGGGAGGCAGGGAGAGATTTCCAGTACTGGAACTATGTAGCTATCCAGCCTTTTCAAGCTTTGCCTTCTATGAAAACAGTATACATTAATCTTACCTTTTTCAAGAGGCCTGACAAAGAGAGGTCCTGAAATGAAATTAAATGATCTTGATGATATAATCTATATTTCTTCCAAGAACTGAGAGGAAGTTGTGATTAAGAGCCATATCCATGGAAGAAAATATAATACACTGTAGTCCTCTCAAAGACTCTCTGTGAGATGAGTGAACACCTAATAAGCTATTGCCTAAATCCCTTGTCCTGCCTCTAGGAATGAAAGCTAAAGATGTTCAACATAGTCAGGATGGCAAAGCTAGTTATCTGAAGACTTCTATGATTCACTCTAAACCTCTCTTTGGGAGGGAGAAAAAGATGGATTCCAGCTTTAAGATAAGTAATGGATAAAGGTTTAAAATTATACCTTCAAGAAGGGCATCAAGAGATCAGACATGCTGTTAACTCAGCAGATGTGATGCTCTAATGTACTGAAATATTTCTGTACAAGGAGACTCTGCTCCACGGGTAGATCAATGAAAGTTTCATGTTGCCCTGTGAAACAATTTTTTAGCAGTTTTCAGGACAGAAATACGCTCTGATCAAATAAAAGATTTCACTCACTTATTCTACTAACTAGAAAAACAATACATAATAACAAAGATAAAATTATCTGATTATTTCTAATGGATTAAATAAATAAATACTTAAACATACCATGACAAAAAAAAAAAAAGATTCCAATACATACAACTACTTATTCCCTCAAATGTGTCCTGTAGAGCTGACATACTATCTCCATTTTTTATGCTGCTAACATCCTCCAGCTACTTGTCATTTTTTTCTAATTTCCTCGTTCTCATTTATTTTCCTACCACATATGCAATAAGTAGACAAAATGTCTTAAAACCCATTCCTCAGATCCATTAGCTGAAAAGTATATTCACTATCAGTTTCCTTTCCTGTACTATCCTTTGCTATTTTCCCAGTTTGTTTAGCATGAAGTAGATAAAGCTCTAGACGCTGCCAGTTAAGTAAGACTGGCAGGGAGCTGGGACTCCCACATTAATTCTGCTGGTTCTTTCAGACTGAATTGTTCCTCTTCAGCTTGTCCAGACTGTTCCCCAGAACTCTGAGGCCCATTTGAAGCCAGCCCTTAAGCAGCCCACCTGCCTCAGTTGTGACATTTCTTCTTCAAAGATCACAGCTTCAGTCTTTGTAGGGAACAGAAGCAATTAAATAGATGTGGCTCTGCCAGACTCTTGAGTAATGAGCATTTTAAAAAGCGTTTCTAGTTGATACAATTTGATAGATTCTACCATTCGTTTAACTGTAGGAGCTAGCTTTCTTTTCTTCCTCGGGGCCAGTTGCTCTGATGGTTCAAAAAGCCAACCCTTCCCTTCACTAAAGAGAAATTACGTGCAGAAAAAAGCGGTATCAAAAGAACAGGTAGGCCAACATTAAACAACCACCTAAAATGCTGGGGAGCTGCATCTGTCTGCTGCTCACAGGAAAAGATTTAGTCCCAGTGCAGCCTGATGAACCTACTTACGCAATGCTTATACTCTGAAACTCTTTTCGTGCTATGTAAAGAGTAAAATTAAGGGCTGATTTGTAGAAGCACCAGTGGACTTGATTTTATTAGTGCTACGGCTCAACACACTTGAAACATTAACCTTTATAAACATTAGTATGGGTATATTTTAATAAATATAGTCAATTTTATATTTAAACTCCTATATGCATGTGGACACCTCATTAATTACTCCATCCTCTCTTCATGGCGCCACGTTATGGTTACAAGCGGGTGTGAGGAAACCCCTGAGGTCTCTGGTGACAGGATCACTTTCTCACATGGGACTGCCTTGCGGAACTAGTTGGTCTGAAAGAACAAGGGACATCTGGGTAACCCCAACTCAGTGACAGTTTTAGAGTCATTTACATGTTGTTCTGGTTTTATTTAGAAGCGTTGTTATCAACAGCTCTTTTGTAGATCTCCACATCCACTAACCGGGGCTTATCAGCAGGAAGTACAGAATACTCCAGCACCATTTCTTCTCTTTCCCACTAGCCATTATTTCAATCAAAAAAGTAGGCAGAAACCTTGGTCCTGTCAGTTGAAAGACTGGGAATGGGATGCAAAGACTGCTATGAAGAAAAAGGAACATTTTTAAGAAGGCAATGGGCATGAGAGGGGACATGACTGTGCAGGCAGCCGCATGAGAAAATGTGAGTCTTAAAGCCTCCTGTAACCTCCACTTGACTTCAGTGAACCTTCTCTTTCTGCTCATGGACCCAAACTATGGTACTTAACCACCCTCCCCACACTGCTCCAACACTCTTCCATAAGGCCCCTATGACCATCCTTTGCAAATCCTAGCTCTTCCCATCGCCCCCAAAATCACAAGTTTGACTCTCTGTCTTGCCATACAATGCCAATCAAAAAGGAGAGGTGAGAAGGAGGTTGAGCTATGGGGAATAATTTGAGCCAGCTGGAGGTGGAAAAGGTACAAAACAGTAAGTGTGAAGTCCCTGCTTAAAAACTGAGCTTGCTGTGTGGCCAAAAAAAAAAAATATGGCCAACAAGCAGAAATAGCGAACCAGATCTTACTCCTTACAGCTTTAACATGGAGTTAA